GCAACAGCTGCGGCGGGACCTATTGTACCATCCGCCAATAGCTACAGCAGACAGAGCTGCACTGCATGGCTTTAGGTATGCAGGCCATCTGATGCTATAGGCGAGACCAACGAGAATGCCAACAACCAAAGTGCACTCGGCGAGTTATGCTCAGAGCTGTGGGACGGGCTGGAAGATCAATGTAAGAAAGGCACACGAATAGACCACACCAAAAGTATTGCCGCGGAGGTGCCGCACAACAAACTGCCGCGAAACGAAGCACCCGCGGTCATCCTATGGACATCGTCGCGGCATCGTATACAGTACCAAGCCTGGTCTCGAGTCTATATTGCTTTGTGTGCTACAGTGCCGCAAAGGTCACTGAATCTCCATATGTCCATAAGTCTAATGAGAATCTGCTTGGTGCTTGAAGCAGGTCGCGAGGCCAGTGTCGACTCCAGCCGCCACCGCCAGCAGCAAGCGAAAAGGTCCATCGCCGGCCTTGGCTCTTCATTTTCGTTGGCAATCTCTGCGCACCGGTCTCCCGCGTTTTGCTTTAGCAATCACAATGACCCTAAAACACAAAGCTCCGGATTTCGCCGCTGATGATGGAAACCACGGGGGAATCGGAGAAGCGTACGATCCGAAATTCCGGCGCTCCAGTGATGATGGGTCGAGACTTTCGCTGATCTAGGATGGAGTGGATTCAACAACCCATGATGTCACGTGCCTTTCAAAGGAGCTCTGCAGCAATCTCACCAAAGCCGTTTGGGAATTGAAGCTGAAGGGTAAGGAACAATTGCGAAAGATCACTGTGCAACTGGCATGTCGCGAAGTCCTCGCCCAGCACCCCTTGGTGCCTCCCTCATTGCATTTTTGCAGAATTTAGAACAAGGCTCACCGGCAGCATGCTGCAAAGGCAGCGGGTACCTAAGGTACACAGCCGGGCCGCAGCCAGCCTTGTTGCCCCTGGCCGGCTGCGCCGATCCTGAGATGCTCTGGCACTCTGGCCTTCAACAAAGATCTAAGATATCTGTCTCTGTGTTCTTTTGGTGCAGCGATAGCAGGGTCGTGTGACAAGCGACGGTGGGCTGGTGATCTCCCGATCTACATGTTTCCTCTGTTGCGACGGGTCCAGAAACTGATGAGAACTAAGAGACTCAATGAACAATTTACCACTTACTGCCACGCGCACCGCGATCACTTGTCTGCAGCTGCGCAGCGCTATGTTGCAGAGGACGGGATCGAGGCGGATCCCATGAGCGAAGCAGTCCTCACTCGTGGTCGGATAGTATACGATGATCATGCAAGGAATTTGCAGTCTGTAAATGTCTGTAGCCTGCAGGAAAGTGAACCATGAAAGGAATTGAAGTGAACTCAGAAGCACCCAGTTCTGATTGAACCGTTGTCTACCAGTCTACCAAGCCAGAGAGAGCGGGCAAATTAGCCGTCCAACTCAACCAAGTCGCGGAGACCAGAAGCACAGCAGTCTGCCATTGGCTGGCCTGCAGGATGCCAACCATGTCACAAAAAGAGTGCAGCTTAGAGTCACGAGTTCCTTTTTGTTGCACGGACATCATGCCTTTCGCAAATGAGGCTACGGACATCGGGCAATCCAATTTCGTTTGGGCAAATGCGAGTATGTACATGTCGTATATGTATGACTTCCGCCAGTAGACTGTGCAAAGAAACACCTCTCGCCAGATGATGTGCTGAAGCCAAACAACTATATATCCATGCATATATATATATAATATATATATATATATATATGTTTCTTTACTTATGATAAAGAAGGTATGCATAGATAGAGGATCCGATGGCAAATGATGCATCTGAGGATACCCTAAATAGGTGAGTGCGTCAATGGCCGTCTTGTTTGGAGAGGTGACTTTGCTCGGATGCCAGGCTCCTGCAAGCTCCTCCACTGGCCAAGGCAAGAGAGTCCCTAGGTCCCTCATCCGGGTCCTTGGCTGCGGCACTGGCCGCGCGAGCAGCGGCCAATGCAGCGGGGCCTCCACTGTCCGTGCTGTGGCTTGCTTCGGATTTGGTGATCTGTGCTGGAAGAATTTAGACTCTTTGTCGCTTGCTCCTACACCTACACTGGCGCGAGGGCGACAAGGTGTCGACCAGCTGTGCTCGAACTCCATGCAAGCCCCGCACTGCAGAGTGCAATTGCATGTCTCTTGCGCTTCAAGACAAGACTAGGCTAAGCTACAAATCAAACACGAATGCTCGAAATTCCAGAAAAAACAACTTTCAATGCCACATGTATGTCATGCATGACACGACCCTTGCAGTTGAAAACCCTAACATCCTGAATCGACAAGTATATGCCCGCTGCAATTGGAATTTGGTTGGTCAAGCCGGTCAAGCCCGTTCCTGGCGGACGCATGTCCACCAGTGCGGCCTCAGCTCAGAGCATTCGGAAGGCTGCATTAGTTCTCGAGGTATGCGTTTGATAGCTGTTGTGCATCACAAAGCAGCTCCGGTCATCAATTGGCTGCTGGTGCAGCTCACACACATTGGTTCATGCATCCGAGAATAGCGAACATGTGCAAACGTAGCCAAGAAAACCCAAAACTGGGGCCACCGCGGATCTAGGGCTTCCGAATTCCTGACATGGTGGTGCCCGGCAACGGCCTGAGGCATCACAGCTGATTCAAACACGTGTCCTCCGTCGCTCTCTCCTCTTTCTTTGTTCTTGCTTTCACAGCATTTTGGGCGAACCCCGGTGTGGAAGTTCTGTCTTTCTCGCTCTCTCTCCCTCTCTGTCTTTCTCTTCGCGCATCAGACCCGCGGGCTCTTGGCGCCCCCCACAAAGGCCAAGATTTGACAGGGCAGATTCGCAATCAAGTCGGACATGACATGCATGCATTCAAAGGCAAATCGTAAACAAACATATTCGCGAGTAAACAAATCACCCGAATACTCACCTTCGTCGCCCGCCGGGCAGATATCACGCTTGGGCGGAACCGGACCTAAAGGTCAAGATCATAGTTCTGCCACAATGGAACCGTTGAATTGTAAAGCACTTGTGCATGCATGGCGGTCGCTGACTTCAATAAGTTTTGCAGCACACTCTGAGGAACGTGACGTTCCATATGCAAATATGTCAACACAAATGATTGCCGTTTCATCTCATTTACAATTTAACTTGATGTACTTGAAATTTGTTTGGAATTGAAATCTGCAAAAGCAGTCTTACATAATTTACAGACATCTTCAACACATTTGATGTTCAGTGCTTGCGTAACCGCACTCTTCTCAAACTGATCTAGAAGGCTGCATGTCGAAGTGTTGAGGGTGTAGGCCAGGCTGGCAGAAACTGATTCGCTCTTAGCGGCGACAAGTTGGATCACAACTGCTCCTCGGAACATTAGACTGTAGCCACAGCCACGACTTTAGCCATCGTGTGCCCTTGAAAGGGCAACACTAGGTGCTCCAACACATCGGACATGTTGGATCACAGCTACTCTCTCTCTCTCTCTCTCTCCATGTACTCGCACATGCAGAACAAGAAAGGTTCTTTATGTATACCTGCGGACACACAGACTCTCCCTCAGAACATAAACCCTGCCATCGTCCCCCAAGATCCCCAAGCATCCCCCAAATACTGTACTGGTGCTGCATCTTCTGCCTTTATGCCTTGCCGCTCCTGCAGCCAAGTGTCTGCAAGTCGGCCCATGGCTCCCTGAGCACACGAAGTCCTTGACAGGATGCCCGGAAGCAGCTCGAGAATCCAAGGCCGCAGAGTTATTGAGGGGACCCAAACTCGAATCCCTATCCAGCGAGAAGCCTGCAAAAGCAAAATTCTTCCCAATGCATGCTCTTCAGCATCACCGTCCCTGTTGATGGCTATACCTTCAACCTGTACACACGACATCGAAGGAAGCTGTTCCCATTCCACAGGTTTGTCGCACGAACTGGCCGCAGAATTCTCGTACTCGACTTGGGGAATGATTCGATGCCGGCGGCTGGACGTTGTTAGCGGCCACGCGATTTGAGCATAAGCCGAAGTAGAACCCCCCACCAGCAGCCCTGACACACCAAGGATGCATTGAGCATCAGGGAACAGAATCAACACTTCAATCTACTGCAGTCCACACGCCCCTGGGCACGCGAGCCAAATCCTGTCCCTGACCGTGCAGACATGTAATGAAGCCCTGAATCGCAAGTCCGGTCCGACGCCGGCTTGTCAGCGGCCCATGCGAAGGAAAGAGAACTGGCCCCTCTGAAGGCCTAGAGCTTCTACAGGTCACACTTATCTTTTCAGCCGCCTCGGGTCTGCAAGGGGAGCCAAGAGTTTGAAACATCAGGGCTTTCTTGGTGCTCAGAAACCCGTGGCCCGGGGTGGGTCAAGGGCTTGGCTTGAAAAGCGTGCACCTAAGGCCGAAATCCAGCACAAGAGCACGTTTCAGAGCAATGTGAATAGCCATGGGGTCTTTCTTCTCTGCAGACGCGATCTGCGAGTAGGCAGAGCGACAAACCTTCAACTCGGTTGCTTCGTGAACCTAACATCATGCGCGTTGACGTCTGGTGCCTAGGCCCCGACTCGAGTAACAGCGTGTGCTCGACAATATCAGGTTGGAGACACCTACGCTAGGTTCGCTGGACAGACATGCGCACAAGGATTTGAACCTGGGTTGAAGTGCCACTCCAGGGGCAAACTGTCGGACCACCCCTTTCGCAGAGTGGTGCAGTGCCCCGACGCAGGCCACATAGAGCTTCTGCGAGCTTCAACAACATCCTTTTGAAGGTGATTCGTGCAGAGCTCGGAGAAGCTCCAGCTAGAATGGACCCACGCATTTTCACTGCTTTGACGGGTTTTACCATGTCGTTCGTTGTGCTGATCAGCCTTTTCTGATGCTGAGAGGTCCATTGAAGGGTGGCTCTGTATGTACAAGCTTGATCATCCGTCGCTCGCTGTCTTTGGGCAAGAAGCGAGAGCTGGACGTTCTTGGGAGGTCGGTTTGGGGGAGGGGGAGGGGTGGTATCCGAGAGCTCGTTGCAGCTTCATCTCACGCCTTCACCCAATCATCTTCTGGATCTTCGGGTGATTCGATCGCACCTTGTGACCGATGTGGGATCGCTGGTGCTCGCTTCCGGGCTCCGGGACCCAAAGATGCTTCGAGCGGCTTTGCTCAAGCTTGCTTGGCTTGTGAGCACACGGCTGAAACTGGAACCATAAAAACCCGCCCAAACTGCCATCCTACCGGTGTCGACCCGATCTCAAAGTCTTGTGCTCTGCACCTGAGCGGCCCAAGGCAGGTGGCCAGCCTCCAGAAAGAGATAGTCGTGGTCTCGCCACCGCCTCATCCAAAAGGGTTCTGTCACAAGGCCTGTGGGCGTTCGAAGGTTCCCGCAATACTGCTGAAAACAAACAGAAAAGATTTCTCTTCTTCGAGCTGAAACGTGGCGAAAAGACACAAGTGCTGGGCCGGTTCGGCAGGCCGCAAGTGTGCAGCCGAAACATGCAGACAGATAGATGCGCAGACTCTCTGAAATCGACTGACAGACACGCCCTCGAGCCTCTTGCACCTGGGACGATTCCTCGCCAACCGCCGCACCCAAGGCTCCACCGAACAGCTGCCTGCTGAAGTCGAGAATGGATGCGCAGTGCAGTGCGAGTCCCGGAGTTTGGATCGTGTTGAGCTGTTTCGCCGCTCACACTCGGACAATCCAGGTGAGGCATGTTGAGCTGTTTTTGGTTTCTGGGCATGGATTGTGCAAGACTCGTGCTCTCAGCGTGCCCTTTCAAGCTCGCAAGGTCGCAAACGAACTTCAGTACACAGGCGATCCGCCGACTGCTCAAGATAGATGGCCTTTCTACGAATACTCCTGCCGCCTCCACCTCACAAGATGGCACGCTTCATGTTCAAACTCTCACCTGAGATCATCACCGGAAGCACTTTGGCCGTGGTAGAGAACCTTGGATCTGAGGGCCCAGCTGAGCAAACGACATGCTACAAGCAAACCCCCCGTCCCGTGCAAAACCATTGCCACGAATCGTCTTGGTTTTGTTGATCTTGCTTGCACGTGCCGATGTCTAGAAGGTTGGTGGAGCTCTGTCGCTTGTAGTCCATCTGCCTTTCGGCTGGCATGAGGCAAAGCTGAGCACCGAAGGGATCCAAATGCTACTTGTAGTTTGAGGATCTTGGACATTTTGCTTGGGCGGTTTGATTCGGGTCGGGGCTTCCAGTGCCAAAGAGCCGTCTCGCTGGGATGCTCGGACCGGCTTATTTCGATCTCGCGGCGCCCTGGAGATTGGATTGGCATCCAAACATGGAAGGCTTTACCTGGTTGGAAAATCACTCGAACCTGCGAGAAGCCTGACAGCCATGCTCTAGATGCTAAGCCCACCTCTACATGAGGTCACTGCGGCAACCTCACCCGTCGCCTAAGCGGTGAGATATCGAAGCCAAGCTCATGAATTTCCCTGCAGCTTCTGCAAACACCAGTCCTTGCAAAACAAGAAGATCCTGTACATACAGAAACCACTCAAAACTCTCAGGGCCCCTGTCACGCACAACGGAAGACCTCCACAAAATCTAGCTAGAATCTATGAGTAACTATCTATCTATCTATCTATCTATCTATCTATATCTATCTATCTATCTATCTATCTATCTATCCTTTTAACAATGCTGTTCGATCTTTCCATCCATCTTTCGATCTATCGGCCTATCCTGCTGTCTATATGTCTGTCTGTCTATGTCCTACCTAATGAATTATGCTTCCGGATGCTGGCTAGGACAC